GTGTGTATATTAGAGTTTTGTAATGTGTTTCCATTATGAAACAATGTGGGGATAATTGTCTTTGGTAGCAATTAGCTAACAGGTTTGTTCAGTGCTATTGGCAGAGGCATCCATCATCCTCCTCCCTGACCACACTTTTTGTCTGGTGTGGACTATGGAGATCAATAGAATTCTATGTAGGGGAAATCACCTCAGCTTTAATGAGCTGCAAGTCTCAGTCAGCCTTGGTTTGTATTTTTAATTTTTTGCTTTTAAAATTAGAAATCGAGGGAAAAAATCCTATTCCTTTGGGAGTGGAGGGTACTATGTATGAACTATTACTTTGGCTAGGTCAGTGCTCAGTTTTAAATTGTTTTTCTGTAAGAAGGTATAGCTAATAGCATGGAACACACAAGCCATGTGATTTTAGTAACATGTACTTTAATAAGATTCACTTTTAAGGGTACTGTTGGGTTGTTTGCGGAATACTTTTTAGCGTAGGATATGTATACTCTGCCCAGTGTCTCAGGAGTTAAAAAGAAGCCTGAATAGCGCTTTGATATTAAGAGTTTCATTGTGCTGACTTTGTTATTTATTGTGCCTGGTTAAATAGTGACTTACAGTCTTTTAGAATATTTCCATATTGTACTGTTGCTTACCCTCACAACCAAGCTAACATACTGATGGTAACAGTATCAAATGGTATTAAAGATGGTATTAAAGAGACTGTGTTTCTGAGAGGATAAGTGACTTGGTCATGGTCCTGTACTCATCATTATGTAAAGCTGACCCTAGAGTCCAGATTACAAATTAAGTCTCTTCAACTGAATTGCATTTTATTTTTCTTCCTCTCAAACTGGGCAAGATAGGGAAGTTTCTTCACTTGTGCCATTTTTTTCCCCTTGTGAGATCCGAATGGACTCTGAAGGTGGGTTGTTCTGAGGGAGAATAGTGAGCATTTCTGTGGTGGTCTATGGCCCCAAAGTAAACCAGTGAGATAGGTGAGGCAGAGGAGGCCAGTTTACAGGTTAGGACCCGAGACCAAGAAGTTGTACAGAGAAGTGGTAGTAAAGGGTATGGTGGTAAATGATAAATGGCAGTGCTCGAATTCAAGGTTTCCTGCTTCTCATCAAGCCTCTTTCTGTATTATGGTGAATAAAGAGCCAGTAAGAATAATTGTTGGGGAAATGATGTCAGAATAGGATTTCAGGTTTTCATGTCACATTACAGACCTAGACAAAAGCAGGAGATGAAGAGCTCTTTGCTGTCATGCCATCCGCTCAGTGATAGCCCTACCCCACTCAGCAGTCGTTCTTCCTGTCAATAGATGTTACCAACAGCTTCTTGATTAGTGATGAGTAATAGGTAGATTACATTTGGTCTGTTGTTTTAAAAGTGAAAGTCCTTGTATTTTGAATAAATCCTTGAAGTATCAAAAATACATTTTTTCTCTGTGTTATATCATGTTTTCTAACTGCACCAACAGAGAGTGTCACTGGAAATTGATGACCAGTTACAGACTGAGTTGCAAGGAAGCCTGAATTTTAATTCTAGGTTTTATAATCTACCACTGGAATCTCACCTTCCCATCTTAACTTTTGCAAGAAGGCTAGGGATTTTGTCCTTTTTTTTTGTTAGTGTTCAACAACTAACAAATTGGGGAGAGTCTTTATTCTCCCCAATTTTGGTACATGTCCTGCTTCCTGTTAAGTCTCAGGTATTAAATAGGTGAGTGAGTGAATGAATAAACATGTGAATGTCATGCTAAGAACTGTGACTTTCTGCTCAGAATCATATTATAGATAACTCTATTAATGAAGATTTTCCTAACTAGAGTAGATACGAAGATGGAAATATCCTTAAATGGGAGAAGATCATCTAAATAGTCACAGTTCTTTCATGAAAATCAATCATCTATGACTTGTAAAAACTCTTATTAATAGGGAGACTGGCATTAGAATAAAATAAGAAGTTAAGCATACTGACTGTTTTGAATCTGAATATGAAACAAATTAAAATTTCTGAACCACTGGGAAAATATCTCCATCCACATTAAAAACTGATGGTTTTGTTTATTCCCTGCAGATTTTTTACAGATTTTTCTCTGCTTTCTTCTGTATAGCAATATATTCTTGCTAGTTTGGGGATAGCTTTTGGGATACTATGTTAATATTAAAATCATTTTAAAATGAATAGTACAGTTGAATGAGATTTGCCATGCAGATGAATGTTTCATAGAATTCCAATTTACTCTATTTTCTTAAGGGGATGTGGTCTTCTACTTAACATGTGTATGATTGCCTCTGCACCCCCTCAAAAGTGATACTCTATATTTTCTCCAACGGGATTACTAATTTTTGTTCTTATTTTTTGAATGACCTTAACTCCAGTTTTGAAATAAGCTGGTTCAGCTCTAGGCCATCAGTATACAACAGAATCATCTTTAAAATTTTAGGTAGTAGAAGAAAGTGTGAGAAAGCATCCAACAGGTTTTTGAATCTGATCAGACTATGACTAGCCCCTTACTGACACTACTGAAGTGTTGATTCCTTTGGAATTCACAGTCTTTATTCTTCTGTAGTTTGTCAAGAGCTATTTGAGTCAGTGCTTGACTATGTCCTGAGCATTGCATTAGGTACTATAGTAGCTAGAAAGAGGAATAAAACCCATAGCCTTGTCATCAAAGAACTCACAGCTTAGTGGGATGTATGAAACATGTACATGATGATTATCTTTCTATATGTGCTTTCAGTGGTGAAAACATTGCTGGAAGGAGTCAGTGGAAAGATATATTCTGGTTTGTAGAGTTAAAGGAGGCTTGATGGACTGGGGGAGTATGGCTGCAGGGGAAGACAATTTAAGACAGAGATCGGTGTAGGCCAAGGAAGGAAAATGGAAAAGTAGGAGGTCTTCTTAAGAACAGTCCAGAGTTGCTAACTAAAAGCTTGTATGTACAATCATGGTGTGAATTAAAGTTGGCCATATTCAGGTAGGACCATATGATAGAAAATACTGAATTCCAGGCTATTTAAATTAGCAATGGAAAGCCACTGATGGTTTTAAATAGCAGAGTAACACAATCAGAACTTTAATTTTTTTATGGCAGTGCTTTTCAATAAGACAGATGAGAGGGATAATATTTACCTAGTGGTAACTGGGATTCTATATATTTTCTAGCACTCTATATATTCTCTGACACTTTTCTGTAACTCTGCCCCTCTCTTCTACTCAAGGGAGCATATGGAAAACCATTGAAGAAGAGTAGTAGTATTAAAGAAAGTTAAATCAACTTTCATTTGTTTCCAAAGAGCACTTACAAATTTACTTAGTTACAAATAACTTCCAATACACTTTATAATGTATCATGATACAGAGCTGTGTGTTGTGACAGCAGTTAAGAACTGAGGTTGAAGATGATATGGCAACACTATGTACAGTGGATTGAAGTGAGTACGTACTGGATATAGTGATAGAGAACAATTAATACACTATTACATTATTCTTACAAAATTCAAGACAGGTCTGAATTAGGGTTTGCAATTGAAATAGACAAAGAAATAAAGTTAATATACATGGCAATTTATAAGATACTGGTGACCAGGAAGTGAAAGGAGCCTAGGATGAATCTGAAATTTCAAACTGGGGTATCTTATAATAATAGAAATAAAAGTTACTTTGAATTGGGGAAGGAAAAAATTGAATTCAATATGGGCTACTAAATTGAGATTCCAGAGCACATCTTATAGAATGCTTCTGTAAAGTTGGAAATCTGGGGCTCCTTCTCAAGAGCATAGTGTAGATTTGAGTCATCTATAAAATGGAATGTTCTTTCTAAGATACTTTGGATGCCAGGAGGCCCTCCCCATTCTGTATGTGAACCCTCATTTGATTCTTAATTTTTCAGGTTATTATTAAATCCTTAAAATTTTAATGATTGAATATCCATTTGCATGGTACCTTAAATTTTTCTATCCCCTAAATGGTGGTCAAGTGAACATAATGAATTAATGCATACTCCGGAGTAAGTACCTCATGCGAGGAAATGAATGCATAGACCTTTTCTGGTATAAAGGGGAATGTTTCCAACTCTGCAAACCTCTTGTGTATTGATACAGAACATTTATTTAATGACAAATATTATTTCCTTATTCATTGCACATGCGTGCCTTTCACCCTTTTATATAACTTACAAACATTTTTAAAAGTCTTAATTCAAAGACTTTTCAAGCTTTTACCCTATGATGTTTTCATTTCTTGAAATCTTTTGTATCTTATGTCTATCCTTTGAGCCTTCCTGGTGTAGACAATTCAGATGAAATTCCAGAGATAGCAATTTAAGCTTATTTTGGATCCCTAACTTATATTGATAAAAATTTTAACCTATGGGTAGGTAGTTTTTGTATATATTTATAGACTTTCTTATGACAAATGGTGCAATGGAAAATGACTTATTTTTGCTAGTTTGAAAATGAAGTATAGAAGTACATTTCATTGCATGATGAATATGAATAATAATGATTATACTGAAAGCTTTTGTCATTCAAGAAGTTTATAATTAGAAATTAGATTCCAGCTATGCTTTATATATAGTGTAGTATATATATATACAGTAGCATTTAATGAACTCTCTCTTACTCATGATTGTAGGTATAAGCAGAGGGTGTTACTTGAAATTAAAAAATAATCTACCTTACAGAGAAGACAAGTAATGCCTCTATAGCATCTTCCTATGCTGATGGACAGTGACTGTAATGGGGTATGTAGGGGGGACTTGATAATAGGGGGAGTCTAGTAACCATAATGTTGTTCAAGTAATTGTACATTAATGATATAAAAATAAATCTACTTTGGCTATTAATGTTTTTCTTATTGATCTTATAAATCCTGCTAACTATAGAAAACTTTTACTGATTAACATTCTTCCCCTTATATTTCTCTCAAAGACTTGTGATGAAAATTTTAAAATATTAAAAGCAAACTGGTGAGTGAACAGTTGGTGGGGGCACAGGGGGGACAGTGGT